TTTGTACGGAGGTGACTGTGCCTTTTAAAGGGAGAATGAAGGATCAGGAAGGGGGAGGAATTAGGGAAATGACAAATTACCAAGGATTGCTCAGTGGAAATGTTGGTTAGGCCAGCTGTGTCTGTTAGCTGGCAATTAGCAAAGTTGGGATTCTATTTTCCCACTACAAAGACTGAAAGACAGGGGCTCTATCATTTCTGATGATTACATTTCAGAGGAATGGCTTTCAGGTCTGAGAAAGACATTCTTTTTCTTTTTCTTTTCTTTCTTTTGAGACGGAGTTTCTCATTTCTGTCTCAGGCTGGAGTGCAGTGGTGCAATCTTGGCTCACTGCAACCTCTGCCTCCCAGGTTCAAGAGATTCTCGTGCCTCAGCCTCTCAAGTAGCTGGGACTACAAGCATGCGCTACCACACCTGGCTAACTTTTTGTATATTTAGTAGAGAAAGGGTTTCACCATGTTGGCCAGGCTGGTCTCGAACTCCTGACCTCAGGTGATCTGCCCGCCTTGGCCTCCCAAAGTGCTGGGATTACAGGCGTGAGCCACCTCACCTGGCCAAAAAACACTCCTGAGTAGGACATACATCTCAAAGGGTCAGAGGAAGAATTCACAGCTGTAAGCCGTTTTCAGTAAATGCTTTAAGAAAGGGCAGTCAGGGACCTATTGTCAGAAGTTGGTTATTACAAACACCACATTTTTTTTTGGCAGCTTAAACATTCTCAGTAAGGGACTAGAGTCATACTAGGTGTTAGGGTCATCCTAGCCATGTAGTCTTGAACTGTGTGTGTGTTTTTTTTTTTTAGAAAGAAAAACAAAAACAACTCACAATGTATAAATTTAGAAAAGGAGATGGAGACTTTATTTCTTCTAAAGGGGTACAACCTGCAAGGTAGCCATCCTGGAGGCTGGGGAGCTGACTCCAGCAGAAACTCAGAGACAGGCACTTTGAAGGGGGAGGCTTTGAGGCAGGAGCTTTAGACTGCACAGGTTAGCTAAACTTACACATTCAACAGGTTACATGAGGGGCTATGAATATTCATGAAGGTGGACCTGATACATGCATATTGAAGAAACATGCATGTAACATACGACTCATGTATATTCAGTTTGGGATGGTGACTTGACATTTAAGTGTATTACGATTAGGTCCTATCTGTCAAAAGTCTTTCAGGACATCAAGGCACACAAGTACACAGCCTCTGTAAACCAGAACCAGTCCATTCCATAGTCCATGATCTTCTTATCGGGAGAAAGTTGTTGAAATCAGTCTCTTATCTAATCAAAGCTGTAGTTACGGCTTTTGTGTAAGAGTTAGAGAAAGAGGAAAGAAGCAAAAATACGTTGGCAGTTAGAGACAGGTTTACTTTAGATGGCCCATTTTGGTTCGGAGCCCTTTCTCTTACTAAGAGTATATATTGGTTTTAGGGTGAGGGGGCTTATCACAAGCTTGGAATGTTTATGTGTGTGGGTAAGTTTATGGCGGGGTTGGAATCCCGCCATAAGGGGAGGAGGGGAGGTTATCTTGAGGCAGACATTTTTCTGGCCTGGAGGGGGGTTATCTCAGGGCCAGCATCTTCCCGGCCTGGAGGGGGCTTTATCTAGGGTCTAGCATGTCTCTGGTCAGGAAGGAGTTTGGAATGTTTCTGGTTGGAGATGTTACTTGTGATTTATGGTCATGCTGACCTTAGCCATTTGGCTGATGCCCTTTGGATTTAGGCAGTTTTTTATTAAGGTGAACTTTAGCACGAGGGGCTTGTCCAAGATGACGATGCTCCTGCTCTGTCAATCCAGACCCTATAGTTATAAAAAGGAGGAGGGACAGCATTTTCTTTCTGGCTACTTCCTGCTGATGAGGGTACAGAGAGTTGTCTGGTCTTGGGTTGACTGTAGGAGCAATGCCGTCTATAGATGTTTTTGGGTAGTTGTTTGTGAAATGGCCATGATCCTGTCGGTTAAAAATCTTTGAAAAAGGTTAATTAGGCAGGGTAAGAACATTAGTCCCAGGCATATTATTAGAAGAGGGCCCAGGAATGGAATGACCCATGCTATGATTTTGTTCCCAAACCAAGCATTTATTTGGTTGTTTTGGTACTTCCTTTTTAGCCCTTTCCTTAATAATAATCAATCAAAATGCTACAGTAATTGAGATTTTCTGTCCGATATTCCACCCTGAGAGTGCTACAGTATATAGTCCTACTGCAAATAGTAGAGTAAAGCAATTTCCACAAGGGTGGTATAGTAAGTAATTTCCATTAAAAAGTTTTCACATTTGACTTAAAAGGAGAGATAGGAATGACAAAAACTATTTGGTGAGGTAGGGATGAGACTAAGGTGAGTAGTTCTCAGTTACTTATCACTTATCTTCATTTTTTTTTTTTTGAGATGGAGCTTTGCTCTTGTCACCCAGACTGCAGTGCAATGGTACAGTCTTGGCTCACTGCAACCTCCGCCTCCCGAGTTTAAGTGATTCTCCTGCCTCAGCCTCCCGAGTAGCTGGGACTACAGGCGCACACCACCACATCTGGCTAATTTTTGTATTTTTAGTAGAGACAGGATTTCACCATATTGGCCAGGCTGGTCTCGAACTCCTGACCTTGTGATCTGCCTGCCACGGCCTCCCATAGTGCTGGGATTACAGGCATGAGCCACCGCACCCAGCCTAGTTACTTATCTTTTATGATTTTCAGTGTAAGATTTCCTATTTATTTACATTAATATTTAAGATTTTTTTTTGGGCTCTCAGGTTGCTTCCTTAGCTTTCCAAGCTTTGACTTGCCTGTGATGTATTTAGGAGTTGATTCCTGTAACAGATACCCTCTTAATTACCCTGGGTTCCATGGACTCACTAGACTTGGTGGGAAGGATTCCGGGAACCCTTAGTTATTAGTTGTCAGCACCAGCAGTGAAGAGATTTTCTCCTGTCATGGTTGGGGGGCTTAGAGGCAGCATCTGCTGAAACATCTAGTTTTCAGCTTCTAGGGCTTTAAGAAAGCACAGCTTATTTTGGAATCTTGTAGCCAGAACAATTAGAATTTAATTTAAAATGAAGAAAATAACAAAAATTGAAAAACATACTAGAATTTAATGACAGGTGTGCTATAGTTTTTGAAACATAATTTTCTTTCTCCAGTTTCCCATTTTTATTAAAAGACAAATCATGGTACGCCTAGTTTGTTTTATTATATGTGGCTTAATTATCTGGATACAGTGCAGCAAGAATAATTATTTGTTACATAGGCCTTTTAAATTAGCTTTGATGGAACTTTGTTCTGTAGAGAGAATCTGAGGTACCTTTTTAAAGGCATGCCCAGTCATAGATTTGTACCATCAAATACCTATGAGTTGTTGAATTTGTCTCTTCTTGAGGTCCCAAGATAACCTGGGGTTCCTGGCCCGTTAGAAAGGGACATTCTTTACTTGCCACAGATCAGAAACCCTGTACAGGAACTTTGTACACAGAATATGAGGCCAGTTTCCAAGGGCTTTATTGGCTTCATAAATTTTGATTCCTCAAAGGAAAGCACACCATTCCAGTCAAAGCCTTGGTAAAATAACCAGTTTTTCCAATTGTGTCCTGTTACAAAAGAAAACAGATACTTATTGCACTTATGCAAATAACTATATTGCCATAACTTAAGAATACTCACAGATAGTTTCCAAATTCTGGAGAAAATCAGGTAGAGAGAAACAAGTATGCTCCAAATTTTGTTCATGGGCGCATACTAAAGTGTTAAAAGCTGTCAGTATCTCCAAAGAAAAGTTTCTTTAACTTTGAAAAACGAAACAAAACGTTGGCAATATTTTAAGCGAAACATCAAGATTACTCCAGTCTCCTATTAGTTTAGTTCATGCAGTTAATTCCTGTCCTGCTTGATATTAATGAAAATTTTAGCTTTTCAAGAGTTCTGAACGTTTTTCTTCCATTCTGATGTTACAATTTCCAAAGTTATCAGAAATCTGCATTCAAGAGCACCTGTTAGACCTTTATAGCTGATCATAAAACCACCTTTTAAGGAGCGCCGAATAAGACAATTGTATGGATGAGAAAAATTTTAGGGTGGCCATAGGTAAAGACACAATTGACAAGGATAGCTGTTACCTCTGTGGCACACAGTAAGTTTAACATAACAATTATAATTATTACTGATACATAAGATATATCAGAATTATCAGAGTCTCCTATAACCCTGGAAAACATATCAATAACATATTATATAAATATAGATCAAAGAAAACCAAATACCATTTTATATTTAGCAATGCTTCCTTGTATGATTTTATACCAAATAAGCTAAATTTTACCTTTATATTAGTGTGCTATTAATGTTAAACTCAATTTTAATAAAACCTTGTAGACATAGTTACCCGATTTTAATGTTTGACGATGAGGTAAGATTTTCAGACTCTTTTTAACCCTTTATAATTTTTGTTAAAGAACAGGTTAATGCTTTAAGAGAAACCCGTTGTGCTTTTATTTTAATGCCTAATTTACAGAAAAGCTGGATGACACCCCTTCAATCTTTAGCCAAAATGTTTACACACAGAATTTCCTTTACAATTAACCTTTCGAAACTTGCTTAAACCTTCAAAAACAATTCTTTAAACTTTTAACATAGGTTAAAAATCCACGTTCTTATGCCTACCAAAATACACTTTTTACCAAAAGTGTATTTTATTTTCCTTATGTACCCCTTGCACATAAACTGTCTCTTTAATAGTTTTAAATACATGTTGCACTGTTAACTTTTAGCAACCTTTACCTTTGTTGAGAACCCTGGTAAGTGGGATTTTAATGATGTGCTAGGTGTAGAGCCTAGGACCTAGACAGAAATGCAGATAAGCTCTGGCTTAGCCCAGCATTTAACTCCATGTGTCCTAGATTTTCCCTAGCTGCAAAGCAGGCAAATTGTACAGCCAAGAGTTCTAGCGACATTTCATAAAGCACTCGGGAGGCCTACTTACTTTTAAATTATACATTTCTTGCCTAAATTCCAGGTTACTGGGTTTTCTGACCCCAGACTCGACGTAGGGATTATGGGGGTGTAGGGGTGCCGACCTCGTCCCAGACTATTGGGCATTGGCGGCGAGTCCGCGGACACTGCGCATGCGCGATCCGGAAGCTGCCGCCCGCGGCGGAAGGGGCCGACCCGGGAGACTGAGGACTTAGATTGCTTAAGGACACCAGGCGGGCGCGACGACCTTCAGCCTCTCTCTCTGCAGCTTTGGCCCGTTCCTTTAACTTTTGTTCACTTGGGGCCGTTTGGCGTTTCCACGTGCCTTGGGCCCGCCCACTGCAGCCGCCATCTTGGAAACGGCCGCTGGCGCCTAGCTGAGCTGGTAGGACTTCCGGGTCGGGCTTCCAGTTGCCCGGGTAACGGGAGCACAGTCTCGCTGGTGAGTTACTTAGCCTTTCATTCATCAGCGTAAAAAGAACTGAGTTCAGGTCGCAGGTCTCCTCCAGGGCGGACATTATCGTGTGCGCTGTAGTAACCTCTCATCGTGTGGAGTCGTTCACTTAGCGCGTATTGCTCCGGCGCCCTGCGTAACGCTAAGATGCCTGAGGCCTGGGGTCCGATGCCCGCCTGGCTGTACTGTGGCGGCGGGAGCGGTGTGTGTGGGACCGTAGGGCGGCCTCACGGCTAGAGTTTCAGGACTGTGGGGTGCCTGTGTCTGTGGCGGTCGCCGGTGTCCTCGTGGTCCTCAGCAGGGTGCGGGTGGACAGCTCGTGCGAGGGCCCGGGAGTCTTGGAAACACTTTCCGGCGCGGTCTCTGGACTGAGCGCTGGGACCCGGACCGAACCAGCCGCGCTTGCCTCTGGAGCTGGACTAGCCGACTTTCGTTAGGTCAAATAATGAACCTTATACTGCCCAAGTGCGGTATTAATACCGCCTGGAGTTCTTGTCTCTTACTCATTTCTATCCCCGTATATTTTAGAAGTAGATTCATTTTATTTTTATTTATTTATTTTTTTCTGTGACAGAGTCTCGCTCTGTCGCCCAGGCTGGAGTGCAGTGGCGTGATCTCCTCTGGCTGCAACCTCCGCCTCCTGAGTTCAAGCGATTCTCCTGCCTCAGCCTCCCGAGTAGCTGGTATTACAGGTGCCTGCCACCAGTCCCGGCTAATTTTTGTATTTTTAGTAGAGACGGGGTTTCACCATGTTTGCCAGGCTGGGCTCGAACTCCTGACCTCAGCCCGCCTCGGGCTCCCGAAGTGCTGGGTTTACAGGCATGAGCCACCATGCCCGGCCCTTATTTTGTTTTTATTTTTATTTTTATTTATGCATTTATTTTTTGAGACGGAGCCTCGCTCTGTCGCCCAGGCTGGAGTGCAGTAGCGCGATCTCAGCTCACTGCAACCTCCCCCTCCCGGGTTCAGGCGATTCTCCTGCCTCAGCCTCCCAAGTAGCTGGGATTACAGGCATGTGCCACCACGCCCAGCTATTTTTTGTATTTTTAGTAGATTAAGCTGTAGTCACTAGGTCTGCAAGATAAAACTGTTTTAGAGGGACTGATAATAATGGGAATTCTGTAACTGTAGGGATCATGACTTAGCTTACAGTATAAACCTTTCATTTACAAAAACACTTGAGAGAAACAGTTTACCAAAATATACATTTGTATACTTAAAGGTACAAAGAACAGTGATTATCATATAACCAGAAAGTAAAAGAAATGTTTTTTATTTTAGATTGAGCATTTCCACAGAAATTACAGTTTTATCCTTTTTGAAAAAATAGAATTGTGTTTCAGAAAGAAGAAACTACAGTTTTAGCATGCAGAAAGGAAAAGGGAGAACAAGCCGGATCAGAAGACGAAAACTTTGCAGAAGTTCTGAACCAAGAGGAGGTACAGTTTTTGTTTTAGTGACAGTGATGAAAAAAGAAATCCTTTTGTGATTGCTTGTTTGTTCATACGTAGCTTTTCTTTCTTTCTTTTTTTTCTGAGATGGATTCTTGCTCTGTTGCCCACGCTGGAGTGCAGTGGCGTGATCTTGGCTCACTGTAACCTCCACTTCCCAGGTTCAAGTGATTCTCTTGCCTCAGCCTCCCAAGTTGCTGGGACTACAGGCATGAGCCACCATGCTTGGCCTAACACATAGCTTTTCTCAAAGGCACACAGTGTTCAAAGAGAATCTTTCTTTTTTCTTTTCTTTTTTTTTTTTTTTTGGAGACAAGGTACAGTCTGTTACCCAGATTGGAGTGCAGTGGCGTGATCATGGCTCTCTACAGCCTTGAACTGCCAGGCTCAAGTGATCTCATGCCTTAGCCTCCCTCCTGCCTCAGACTCCCAAGTACCTCGGACTACAGGTACATGCCACTCCATCCGGCTAATGTTTTTTTAAATTTGTTTTAGCAACAGGGTCTCACTATGTTGCCCAGGCCAGTCTTGAACTCCTGGGCTCAAGTGGTCCTCCTGCCTTGGCCTCCCAAAGCACTGGGATTACAGGCATGAGTCACTGTGCCCAACCCAAAGAAAATATTTCTTAAATAACACTCTTTTTAATGGTGCCATTGTATTCTTTTAGATCCTGGTGGGAATGTGAAGATATCTAACTCATTGTTTCAACTGTCTTCTCTGGGGGTGACTCCCAAGTTTCTTTTTCTGGTCTTGACCTTCAGCCACCTGTAGGATATCAGTGTTTGGATGTAAATTTATCACTTCAAATTCGGGGTAACCCTGTCTGAAGAAGATACTGTATCTTGTTCAATACAAAAGTGGCCATCTGGAAAGTCCTATGTAAATCCAACTGAATATGGTACAAGATATGGATAAGTTCACTTTTTTTTTTCTCTTACGGAGATCCAGTTGTTGGATCATCATTTATTGAAAAGACTACCTTTTTCCACTGATTTGCCTTCACACTTTGTCAGAAATCAGTTGTTCATTTACATATGGGCCTCTTCCAATTTTCTGTCCTGTTCCATTGACCTATTTGTCTGTCTTGACAATATCACAGTAATTTGATTACTGTAGCTTTAGAATAAGTTTTAAAATCAATCTTTAAAAGACATCGTGGCTATTCGAGGCTTTTTGCATTTCCGTATGAGTTTTGGGATCAGCTTGTTAATTCCTGTACGAAAGCCTGCTTGAATTTTGATTAGGATTACATTGAATGAATATAGTCATATGTTGCATAAGGATGTTTTGGTTGATGGATCACATGTACAGTGGTAGTCCTATTAGATTACAATACCGTATTTTTTTTTTCTTAAGAGGTGGGGTCTTTCTGTGTTGGCCAGGCTGGTCTCAAACTCCTGGCCTCAAGCAACCCTCCCGCCTTGGTCTCCCAAATGCTGGGAATACAGATGTGAGCCACTGTGCCTGGCCAATACTGTGTTTTTATTGTACCTTTTCTATGTTTAGATACACCAGTTCTTACTATTGTGCAAGTCTCTCTGACACATTTCATCAGACATGTTCTTTTAAAAATGGTAATCTGATTATATAGTGGTTTTAATCACCATTTGTTCTCTCCTTGCCTGATAGTGAATGAGAGCCACAAGTCTGAATTTATAGAGCTAAGGAAGTGGCTGAAAGCTAGGAAGTTTCAAGATTCAAACTTAGCGCCTGCTTGTTTTCCAGGTAAGATCTAGCCTTCAGCTGTCCTGCCCTTTCCCACGCGAGAGCCAGGTAGACAGCAGGGGCCACTCTTGCAAGTGGGCCTCAGCAGATATTGTCCCTCAGCTGGTTTGCTTGTGCTCCCCTTGGGTTGGAGGAGGAGCCCCCTGTGTGTGGCCAGTTAATTGCAGAGCTGTGGGCTTCAGCACTGAGCTGAGGTAGATTGACATTCTCTTCTGGAACTTGCGCTTATTAGGGAGGTTAGGTTAACATTCTGCCAGGCGCAGTGGCTCATGTCTGTAATCCCAGCACTTTGGGAGGCTGAGGCAGGCAGATCACTTGAGCTCGGGAGTTTGAGACCAGCCTGGCCAAAATGATGAAATCCTGTCTCTACTAAAAGTCCAAAAGTTAGCCAGGCGCGGTGGTGTGCCCTGTAGTCCCAGCTACTCTAGAGGCTTAGGCGGGAGGATTGCTTGAGCCCGGGAGTTTGAGGCTGCAGAGAGCCATGATCATGCCCCTGCACTCCAGCGTGGGCGATAGAGTGAGACCTTGTCTCAAAAAACTAACAAAAACCAAAAACCACTTTCTCCTGGAACATTCTCTCACAGAGGTTGGGCAGCTTGCTCTGGGTGTGTGCCTGCATACATGGCCACTCCACTCTCCACAGGTGGGCAGGAGATAACCACAGGGAGGACCAAGATGCTCTCTACAAGGATTTGGAGTCTGCTGCAGCACAGAGATAGTGGTGCAATTAGGGCCCCAAAGTTCTACATCACAGGGCAGGCTGCACCTTACAGAAAAGTTAAGGCATATGCCACACAATGCTCACATTGTCCATTAGAATTATTACTCAAGTACCCGTTAGGTAATTGAACTTTGAGCAAATTAACTTCCTCATATACCCCCCGCCAAGGCAAATGATTTCCCACTTGTGCCCCTTGCTGAGTGAGGTGATGTGTGTAAAGTTGTTTTCCATGAGTCAGTTACACATCATGACTTTGAATGAAAATGCTTGATTTGAGCCATTTTCTATTAGGGCCCCTTCTAGTTGATGGTCATGAACCATATTGTCAGCCTCTAACATAGTGCTTGACTTTTCTGTTTTTGTGTGTCAAAGATGGTCAGTAAAAGCCACATTCTTAGATTATACTGAACAGAGTTCTTCCCCAGATGATCAAGAGAGTCAGTAGTGTCAGCGGTAGATTTGCTGTGTCTAAGGCCTGCCCACATCTCAGGTGTCATTTGCCCTAAGATGGATGGGTTTAAAATCATCAAGCAGGAATCAGCAGATGGTTTAGATGGAATACCTGAGAATAGGTCATCTGTAATTTGGAGCAGTAAAGCGTTCCTATTTTTAAAAGAACAACTTGCCCTGGCCCCAGCCCCAGATTTCAGGCGATGCAGGTGCAGAAGCACAGTGGCTTGGCAGTGACCTGAGCCCAGTGCTTACAGTTCTGGGGACAAGGAACCTTCTGTAAGTGCTTCATATAGTTTTTAGCTCTTAATCAGTGTATGATGGGAGGTAACATTTTTGGGCTTCAGTCAAAATGTGTGAACTCTGGGGAATTCATCTTAGTTTGTGGAGGGGCATAGGAAATCTCCTAAGCAGGATTCCATCTTTAGACTCTCTCTTCTTTTCTGCCGTGGGAACTGACCCCAGCATTTCCTTTCACCACCAGAAGCGCTAGCCAGGTCAGGGCCTCCTATGTAGATTGATGATAGTGGAAATTTTGAGGCTTTGAGACATTTATAATAAGCTTTACTCTTACGAGCTCCTAATGGCCACTTCTACTTTGCCTAATATATCCAATATGAAAATGAAAGTAAGTGTAGATTACTGTGTGTTTTTTTGATATTAAACACTATCATGTAAATATAGGTAAAGGCTTTTCTAGATGTGTTCCATAGACCAGCTTTTGTTCACATATATGTTTGGAGAGAATTTCCACTTAGATTAGCACGTAAGGTTTTGGAAGGATAACCACGCAGAAGAAAATCTTCCCATTAGTAATTGATTCTAGGAGGAGTTCTGGCACACAGGGGTGATTAACTCCACAATGCGGTACACGAAATCAACGAAATACGCTATCAACACTAGAACCAGCTGTGTGAGCAGACAGTATCCTCCTGGGAGGGGAGATGAATTGGGACTCATCAAATCCAACTTGCTGGGAAACCCATAGAGGACTTGAGGCAGGAATTCCCACCATGAACCGGGAGCATCAAATCCAACCTGCCAGGAAACTGATGGAAGACTTGAGGCAGGAGTTCCCACCATGAACCAGGAACATCAAATCCAAGTTGCGGGAAACTGATGAAGACTTGAGGCAGGAGTTCCCACTGTGAGCCAGGAGCTCCCAGTAGTCCTGCATTGACTTGGCTGAATTATTTTCCCTCCCAGCTAAGAGAGGAAAGGTGAGGAATGATGAATTGGAGACGTTAATGCTCTAGGCCTCTTATGATCATGTAATACCTATGCCTGCCAGAAAAGCTGTCATCTGAGCATCCTTACAATGTTTGTCTGACTGCTCCAGGAGCAGAAGCTTAGGCATGGAGGGAGAAACTTCCGGAAGTTGGTGGGGTATTAATGCAGCTGCTGAGGTTACTGTGGTGACTGTGCTCCAGCTGGAGCCTTGGCTCCCAGGCATCCGCTGGAGCTGACCTACCCAGCTGAGCTCACCAGGTCATGGAGAGCCCATCTCATGGGTTACCTGATCAGAGAGGGGAGGATGTCTGCAGGCTTTGTGGGGACTTAAGTGGGGTTTACTGGCCAGCCGGCCAATCAAAGGGGTCTCAAGGTCTTTACTCTGGAGAGCTGAGTCTGGTAATGGGGATAAGTGGCCTGGGGCTCTAGCCTCAGAGGTTGGCTGGGCATTGGGAATAGCACCTTATTGGCCAGTAGGCCCCAGGGGAGAGAGTCCAGCCAAAGCTTCCTGCAAGAGGCTAGGAGTAGGTCTGTATCAAGTCCACGGTGGTCTTTAGGTCTCACCTCTGAAGCTGACTTTGCCCTTCAAGGATTATAACTCACTGGAGGTCAAGACATTTTCTGGAATAGCTTTCTGACTCCCTGTTTCTCCTTGGAATCAAAGACTGAGACACATCCAGCTTCAGCCTTGTGTAATTTTGAAGTTCACATTTTTTTTTTTTTTTTTCCATAATGATATGTCTAGGGCCTCGAAGGTGTAGTAGGATTTACTCTTTGTGTCTTTGCTTTCCTAGGTACAGGAAGAGGGCTGATGAGCCAAACATCCTTGCAGGTGAGAATTTTCCTTTGATCCTTGAAACCCAGTGTAGATTTTGCTGCTTTGTTTTTGTGGTTCAAATGAAGTGGATTAAAAAAATTTCAGACATACAGTCATTTCTTACTTACCTAATAGATATGTTTGAATATGGTTCTATCAACTAGGATTAAGTTTGTTGCAATGAAAGACAAGCCCAAAGTTGAGGTGCTTAAGCAGCATGGAAATTTATTTTTTTCTCACTCATAGAAACAAGCTTGGAGTAGGCTGACCCGAGCTGATGGGGCAGTCCCATGGTCCGTGGAGGCCCCAACTCCTTCCAGCTCTCTCATGTCCTTAAGGGAACTGCACCCTCAGGTCAGGGTGCAGGTCTTGGAACTTGGGCAGCAGGAGAGAGCAAGGGGGTGAGGAAGGGCAGGCTTCCTCCCTTTAAGGAAATTCCAGTCCTTCTGTCCTTGACCGGTGATCAGGTACACAGCCCTAGCCAGCTGCAAGGGAGGAGAGCCGTGCTGGCCTTTCCCCAGCCATGTGCCCTCTAAGTAGGATTCTGTTAGTGAGGACGGGGTGAGAAGGCGTGTTGGGATAGGCAACTAGCAATCTCTGCCACAACACATTACATGTCAGATCACGTTTAAAGTGTGCTGAGGCAGCTGCTGCTGTTTGTGAGGCAGTTGTGGTGCAGCAGGTAGAAACCAGAGCTAAGGGAGGATGAGGCCTCGGGTTTGGGCCAGAGTTGCCTTCAGCTGCCTGGGGGCCCCAACCCGAGACCCCCTCATACCCTTGCCTTCCATTTCCTCCTCTACAAAATGAGGAAGTAAATGATGACCTCCAAGGTTTCTTTTTGTTCTTCCGATCCTGTTTTAAAGATCTCTAATGCACGATTTTCTGTAAAGCTAGAAATTAATTTCTTCCTTTATTTAAAAATTGTCCTTTAAAAAATTCTTTATTTAAAACTCATACTCAGATGTGTACATACGTTTAGTCTAAGGAATGGTATCTTTTTTTGTTTTGTTTTGTTAGTAGATAAAAAGTAATTTTTTTTTTTTTTGAGACAGAGTCTTGCTCTGTCGCCCAGGCTGGAGTGCAGTGGCATGACCTTGGTTCCCTGCAACCTCCGTCTCCTGGGTTCAAGCAATTCTCTTGCCTGAGCCTCCTGAATAGCTGAGATTACAGGCGTGTGCCATCAAGCCTAGCTAATTTTTTTGTGTTTTTAGTAGAGACAGGGTTTCACCGTGTTGGCCAGGCTGGTCTTGAACTCCTGACCTCAGGATCTGCCTGCCTCGGCCTCCCAAAGTGTTGGGATTACAAGCATGAGCCACTATGCCTGGTCCAAAGGTAATTTTAATTGTTAAAAATGTTGTGCTAAAAAGATAAATTTTTAAAATATTAAAGGAAAATATAATTTCTTTAAAATGCAAACACAGTCAGCAAGGGAATTCAGGTTATGTTTCCTAAACAGGTGAAAATCACAAACACAAGAAGTCCAATATATAAAGAATGGTATGTTTTGATGTTGTAATTCTATTATGCTGTGTTAATGTTTTCGTCATTTAAATTTTTTTAATTGTGGTAAAATATATGTAACGTAAAACTTAACATCTTAACCATTTTGAAGTTCAGTAGTATTAAGTACTTTCATATTGTCGTGCAGTATTTTTATTTTTGGAGGAAAGTGTAATTGACTTTATTCTGTAGCAGAATTTGGGGATGAGAAATGTCATGTATGCAGCAGTAACTACAGGTAGTCTTTGTTTAGGTCATGAAATAATTGGCAGTTGTTTCACATGTACATTCAAATGTGGTTGTTTTATCAAAAGTTTTTGAAATTTGAGACATATTTTACATATAGTGAAATGCACAGCGAAGTGTACAGTTTGCATTTTGATGATAAAGAGATTTACCCAAATATTTTCTAACCATAAGATCATAGGATGTTGGAATGGGAAGTGACCATGGTGATCATCCAGCTTAATCTTGCTTTACAGATGAGGAAACCAGAAATTGATCCCGGAAGATTTTTTGGCTGAGATTTTTTTTTTTCTTTCTTTTTTGAGAAGGAGTCACGTTCTGTCACCCAGGCCAGAGTGCAGTGGCGCAATCTCCGCTCACTGCCATCTCTGCCTCCTGAGTTCAACTGATTCTCCTGCCTCAGCCTCCGGAGTAGCTGGGATTACAGGCACCTGCCACCACGGTCGGCTAATTTTTGTACTTTTAGTAGAGATGGGGTTTCATCATGTTGGTCAGGCTGGTCTTGAACTCCTGGCCTCAAGCAATCCACCCGCCTAAGCCTCCCAAAGTTCTGAGATTACAGGCGTGAGCCACCATGCCCGGGCTTGGCTGAGATTTTTAACCAACTTAGATGCCAGTTAGAATTAAAGGAGAATTTCACATCTGGCTTCATCATGTTGTGTTTATTTAAACTGTTTTCTATTACTTTACATTGAATTTTTCTTCTGTGGTTCTATCTCAGTGGGAGACACTGAGAACGATACTCTTGCAAGTGGTAGAATTCGATCCTTACTACGTTGGGCATGCTGGCCTTTCTTTAGCTCCTAGGCGTGGGTTATGTAGAGAGCAGACCATTGCCTAGCCACTTGGATTTCACTGAATACAATTTTTTGGGGGTAGTTTCTGAAGGGGGCTGCCCCTCTACACCTGTGGGTATTTCTCATCAGGAGGGATGAGAGACTGAGAAAAGAAATAAGACACAGAGACAAAGTATAGAGAAAGAACAGTGGGCCCAGGGGACCGGCACACTCAGCATGCAAGGACCTGCACCAGCGCCGGTCTCCGGGTGTCCTCAGTATTTATTGATGACTATTTTCACTATCTCGGCAAGGGGAGTGCAGCACGAGAACAGGGTGAACAGGGTGATGGTGGGGAGAAGATCAGCAGGAAAACATGTGAGTAAAGGAATCTGCATCGTAAATAAGTTGAAGGGAAGGTACTGTGTCCGGATGTGTACATAGGCTAGATTTGTTTCTCTTTACCCAAGCATCTCAGTATAGGAAAGAGTGACAGAGTAGTATTGCTGCCAGCATCTCTCTCCTCCAACCACAGGGTGGTTTTCTCCTATCTCAGAATAGAACGAATAGTTGGATTTACACCGAGACATTCTGTTCCCAGGGACTTGCGGGAAACAGGCCTTCCTCTTTTACTAATCCTTCTTAGCACAGACCCTTTACAGGTGTTGGGCTGGGGGACGATAAGGTCTTTTCCTTCCCGCGAGGCCATATGTCAGGCTGTCTCAGTGGGGGGAAACCTTGGACAATACCCAGACTTTCTTGGGCAGAGGTCCCTGCGGCTTTCCGCAGTGCATCGTGCCCCTGGTTAATCGAGAATGGAGAATGGCGATGACTTTTACCAAGCATACTGTCTGCAAACATATTGTTAACAAGGCACATCCTGCATAGCCTTAAATCCCTTAAACCTTGATTCAATACAGCACATGTTTCTGTGAGCACAGGGTTGGGCCTAAAGTTACAGATTAACAGCATCTCAAAGCAGAATGATTTTTCTTTGTACAGATCAAAATGGAGTTTCTTATGTTTTCCTTTTTCTACATAGACACAGTAACAGTCTGATCTCTCTTTCTTTTCCCCACAGTTTCTGTTTGTTTGCTATTGGTAGCACTATTTCTTGGCATAAGAAAGTGCAGAAACAGGTGAAACCCTGTCTGTACTAAAAATACAAAAATTAGCTGGGCACGATGGCAGGCGCCTGTAGTCCCAGCTGCTCAGGAGGCTGAGGCAGGAGAATCGCTTGAACCTGGGAGGTGGAGGTTGCAGTGAGCTGAGATCGCGCCATTGCACTCTAGCCTGGGAGACAAGAGCAAAACTCCATCTCAAAAAAAAAAAAGTGAAGAAACAGTATAATTTGAATTGTCAGGTGAAGGGTTGACTGCCTGTCAATGCTTTCATTTTTGTTGGGGTTGTGGGACCTGGCATTGGAGCAGCCTTATGTGCATCTGCTGACTCGCAGAGTTGGGAGCGACTCCATTGGTGGCTTTTGGTTGAGTTATAGTGAGTTCTTGGTAGGTGACTGTGGGATCAAAGACTTTTTCAGACTCATACTCCTGGGTTCTTCCCAAAGCATAGGCATCCTCAACTTTGCTTTCCTTTTGGCCAGGAGGGACAGATGATTATTTCGTTGCCTGAGAGTTGCCTGCTCACCACGGACACAGTGATTCGAAGCTACTTAGGGGCATACATTACTAAGTAAGTGACCACACACATGCTTACCTGGTGCAAGTGCTTCTCCTTAAAGTCTGTCATTGGCGAATATGTCTCTTGAGACATAATTCATTAATACCCAGTCCCTTTTAGAGCAGATAAATACCTGAAATGATGTGAAAAGTTTACTCTGTTCTAGAAAGTTTGTCCTCCCTCTTCCCCTCCCT